CCCCCGGGCCTTGAGTTTGACACCTGTGCCGTACGGTAACATTCTTTTCCAGACAATTCTCCGTCGACCAATAATTAAAAGTGGTTAAAAATATGTTTGTTGGATTTTTGTTACCCTTGTCCAATTTTGAAAATCCAATAGATTTGGGTCGGATCAGTTTTTCGGTACCCTTTGCGACTTTTGCAGGCGTTTGCACGGAATCCGGCGACCGGGCTCGAGACCGACACGATCAATGAAGCGCTGCTTCAAGAGCCTTCGAGGCGCCGTTAATTTGACTTCCTGTACACCGGCATGCGATTAAAAGCCGGCGATGGCTCCCAGGCGAGCGACCTCCGGCGCGCGCGACGCCGTCCTCGTTGTCCGACACCTGCCAGCCAAGTGTGAGGCACGCTTGACTGCGCGCGCGCGCACACACGCACTCTGACACACATTTCGGCACACATCAGCCTCGCTTGGCATCGCCTGCAGACACGCTTCCCACCACTGCCTCTCTCATTCATCTTTCATTAGCGCGGCGCTCGCGGGAGAAACCGGCGCTCGCTCGCTCGTTCGCTCGCGCTCGCACACATACACACACGCCTCCCCTCCCTCTATCGCGTTTCGCCCGTAATCTCCCGGTTTGTCTCGCTCGTGTCTCGCAATCTGTCTTTTTTGATAGCGCTCCTCCCTGGCTGCCTCCTTCTTCTTCTTGTCGCCTCAGCCTCGCTCCGTGCTTTCACCTCCCCCAGGGGCCGCTCAGCGCCATCTCTCTCTCTCTCGAGGGCCCCCCGTTCCCCTTTCGCAGCCTTGCTCTTGCACATTCTCACCTCTCTTGTGTTCTTCCTCTTCCACCACCTCACCCCCCCGCACCTCACCCCCCCCTTCTTCCTGTGCAGCACCGTTTCTCTGACACTCGTCTCCACAACCCACCGCCGCCGCCCGCCCCCGTCTCGCTCTCTCTCCCTCGATCTCGCTCGCCCGCTCTTTCTTCCTTTCATTTCGCTCTCCCTCGATGGAGGGGAAAGGCTCTTTGCCTCTAATTGCGGCTGTTCCGTTGCCATGGTGCATGTTGCTTGGCGCTGCGCTCGTTCGTGTGTGCACGCGCGCGTTCCGGTGTGTGTGTGTGTGTGTGTGTGTGTGTGTGTGTGTGTGTGTGTGTGTGTGTGTGTGTGTGTGTGGCAGGCAGATGATTGCTTGCTGCCAGCTCTCGTTTCCCGGACGCCGATCGCGTTTCTTTGCGGCAGCAGGAGGGGGGAAAAATGAGATGCCAGAAATAGCCGCTTCACACACACACGCGCACACACACCGGTTTGCTCTCAGCGCTTGGCTGTCCAGAGAAGCGCACACACACAAATGCACATTCACGCCTTTTCCTCTCCACCTGACATCCTCGACGCGTGTGACCCCTCTCACACGCACGGACTTCCCGTGCGTGTGCGTGTGCGTGTGTGCGCGCGTTCGTCCTGCAGAGGTTGTGTGGGGACCGCTGATTTATTTCATCTTTAATGGGAAGTGAAATGAATGTGAGCAGCAGCTGCGCCGCTCCTCTTGAGATACGGCGGTTAAGGCTAACCCAGAAAACACGCGGCGCCGCTGCTCCGCTCGCAGCCAGGCCGCCGCCGCCGCTTTCATTAGCCGGCGCGTTAAGACCCTTAAGACTTGACACGGCCGCCCTCGGGTTGGCAGGTCAGATGCGGCTCGCTAGGCCGATTTTCAACCTGTTGCCAACCCTGCGCTGGGTGGGAGGTGTTCTCTCTTCTCCCCGTCACAACTTTTTCCAAAGGTATTTTGGAAGGTAAGTGGCGACAGATTAATAGAAAATAAACCTTCCAACCTTCTGCCGCAAAAGAGGATAAGAGGGGATTATAAGAAGATTTGCGAAGAAATCTACATAATCATCTTCTGCGCTTGTTCACCTGCAGTTCTGTCTCGAGTTTTTTTTTTTTTGATTTTATTTTGCGGTTTCAGTCACAAAAAGGGGAAACTCAACAAAGAACAAACACCGCTAACTCGGAATAAAAGATGTGACGAACGTTGACGTGTATTCTCGATTGACGATTCTTTCATTCAGCAGTTCATTTCGCACCATTTGTCGCAAACGGAGGACGCCCTTTATTGTCAGGCTTCAAATGCCAGCTGCACGTGGTGCCGGTTACGCTTTCTGGCGACTATTTCTTGACCGCGGCCTTTTTGGTCAGCCCGGGTTCCACGCTTCCTTGGGTGACGCAAGCTACTTATGGTGACTCAATAATTGAGCAGATGTGAAATGTTAACATTTGAGGAGACCTAAAAAAAAAATAATAATAATAAATGCACGCATCTTAACATGTCTCATCTCTTGATGGTGCAACGCCCTCTTGGAGAAATGACAAGAACTCCTCATTGTCCTCCATTGTTTGTTTGACGTCTTCTTATGACAGATATGTTCAATGCAGCATCATTTTTTTTTTTTTCCAGTTTGGCCCCGAGTGAGGCAAATCACCGCTGATGGCTCCATAGTCAAGCCGATTTGTCATTGTAATAAGTGAGGCCACGCGGCTGGAAATGAGGAAAACGGCGTTTTCTCCCTGCAGCCTTCCTTCGCCGTCTCCTCTTTGAATACAATCATTCTGACTTGGTCGCGTGTGTTGTTCAGACGAGTGTGTTTTGAGTTTCAAAGCAGGTCCAACCAAATCCTTTTTTTTTCCCCTCCCTCATCTGTCAAGAAGGTACATTTCTGTGTCTGCGTCAATCCATATGCGCATTGTTTTGATCTTGGCAGAGGTCTGCGCTAGTTCAAGTTAAATATCCTTACATTTTCTGTACAACTGAGCCGATTTGGGGCGAGAGGAGGAGTACACCCTAGACTGGTCGCCAGTCATTCCTAGGACACGTCTCGACGACTAGACAACCATTCCCACCTGTTTTTGGAATGTGGGAGGAAACTGGAGTTAGCCCACTACTGTAACTTGACCCGTTAAGATGTTTTGGATTTAAATAGCTTTTCATTTCAAGAAATACAACCTACTAAAGCTGTCAGTTCAACAAGTGACTATTTTCAGTTCTTTACCACCTATCGAGTGTCTTGGAAACACTGCCGTGCATAATCATTTGGAACAGTACCTTTGAAGTGCTTTATTGAAAAAATACTGGGATGTTTGAAAACAGATGGACTATAATAATTTGCAACACGGTGTATATATTTTATGCCTGCTGTTTTTTTTCGTATGTCCCAAAAATGTTGACAGTGTGTTTAAAAAAAATATGCTTAACCCTTTCATGCACCCTGTAGCCCAGTGGTGTCAAACTCATGTTTGTTGTGGGCCACATTTGAGTTACCGTTTCCCTCCGAGGGCCGTTATGACTGAAACCATATAAAAAAGTCAAGAATAACGGTTTATTCACCTATTGTTTAAGTGACTGTAATGAGGGGTTTGGGAACAAGAAAATGCCGACAGTGTCACTCTTATTTTTTCGAAATGAGAATTTGAAATTTTGGTACAGATTTTAGCAAGCATCGTGAAAGTTTTTGATTTGCTTTCGCGGGCCACATAAAATGATGTGGCGGGCCAGATCTGGCCCCCGGGCCTTGAGTTTGACACCTGTGCTGTCACCCAATAACATGATGAGCTGTCCACTGTCGTGACCACTGTCCCTGAAAGGGTTCAAGATTGATAAATGTGTTTAAAGTTTGTCGGATTGTCAATACCCCCCCCCCCCCAAAAAATGGAGCGTATTTTGGATGATAAATGAGAGTTCACTGTACTTTGGCTCCTGATTGCGAGCGGAATGCAAATAAATACGAAAAAAAGTGTCATTGATGAAGAGTCGCCGCTGCGTCTCATCAGAGAACTCCTGTTGTTGTTCCACGGATGACCAAGCTGGTGTATCCATCCCAGGCGGCATACGAGTAGCACGGGGATGACTTTCCGACCGCCGAGGTCAACCGCGACGGCCACTTATTTTCGCCCCGCTCGCACCCGAAATCAGCGTGAGTGCCGTACACATCGATTCCCCCTGCTAATAGATCAATAAAAAAAACATTAGGGACACACTAAACCTGCGAGGAGGACTGATACGGGGTTAATCCAGGGTCAATTGCTGGCCGGCATCCTTCGACTTTGTTCCCGATGAGGCAAAGCAACCTTGAGCAGCTTGAAACAGACAAACTGACCATATAAACGAGGCGTATGTGTGACGTTGAGGATTTGGACGGGCCGAGCTGGAAACGGCGGCTCGGAGGAGGAACGCAGCGCTCCGCCACTTTTCCGCCTCTCGGCTTCTCGCCGCCCTTGTAAAGTGCTGCGTGCTGTCGAAGCGGCAGCCAAGAATGTGTCAGCCCAGACGTCTCGCGCTGCCTAATGGGCTCTTAAACGCTGATATAAAGCTCGCCTCGCTCCTTTTCGCCCTCCCCTCGTTTTCCTCCGGCTCGCCACCCCTCCCCCCCCCCTTTTTTTTTTTTTTTTTTTGCCGCCCGCGACGCTCGCTCTCATTACCTCTCGTTTTCACCCTTCCTTCTCGCTCTGTCACTCACTTGTCATCTTCCCCGCGCATCCTTCCGGTTGATCTGCCAACCTCACGCTCGCTGCCTTTTCCCGTCCTCTCTTTATCCCGCTTCCGTCTTCATGAGCTCCATCCTTATCTTAACATTTCAGGATGGACGGTTGGAAAAGACAAAAATAAACACGCTAATGTTAACCCACCCTTATCTGGGCCTTAGCGTCGGACGCTTCAACGTTATACTCCACTGTCTTGTTTTTGTTGCAGCGTTTTGTTATTGTTTTTCCCGCTGTGGTATCTATTGGCATATTTTGATCAGGTATTGATACATAAATAGTATCATGAGTTAACTCTGCTATTCTCGTTCAGGGATACACTGCTAGAAATGACATCCAACCGCACGCGCTAATGTTAGCTAACGCTATTGCTGTGCTATTTTTCAGTTTCCAAAACAGGCATGTCAGAGTTCGGTGAGCCTGCATCGTAACGATTATCCTACAACTTGATTCAAAGCGAAGCGTTGTCCCGCTCTGTTCCGCCAGGCTCCATAATGCCCTGTACCCACTGGAGCCATCGTTCTCCCTCACGCTGTTGCACGTGTTTTCTGCTCCGCTGCACGGCTTGGCCAACGCTTTCGTCTTCGGTCTGGATCGGAATTGGTGGAGTCTACTGAGCCCCACCAGCATGCAGGTATGTGTCGACTTCAGGCTGTGAACGACGAGGTGTGTCTTTTGTTTTTGTTTGATTTCCTTTTTGTTCTTTTGTCTTGGTTGTACAATCGTGGATGCCTTAGGACTCAGTTTTCAGGGACAAGAATCCCCGGTATTGCCCTCCACTCTCATCGCTGCCCATCTCAACAACCAACTAAAATTTATTTTCCTTTGTATTTACGGCACGCTGTGTAATTCTGCTTCAACGATAAATATAGACACGTGTGATGATGCACAGCGAGCAAAACTTTTTCGTCTTTCTGGTATTCAATTGCTGTTCTTTGTGTTGTGTTTGCAAATGTACGTAATTTGACGTATCGGCTTTATTTCAACTTTTATTTCACTCTCACACAGTAGCTCTTTCTTGATCGTATCAGTATCGCTGGTAAAATATCTCTACTTCCCACTCCTATACAGCTGTTGTCCTGTCATTGGTCCGGCAGATTTGTAGCTTGCCCGTCTGGACAAGACAAAAATAAACGCGCAAGCTAGGTCAGTGATGAGTCACTCTTACACACCAGACATCCATGCCGGCAACGTGGGTTCAATTTCGACGGCGTGAATGTGACTGTAAATTGTTTGCTATCTTTGTGTGCTCGACGATTGACTGGCGACAAGTCCAGTCGAGCAGTTTAGAAAACGGATGGATGGAAACACACGTTAACATTAGCTTAGCCTGTTGCTGTTGACACTCGCTGCAGTCTCCACTTTGCTACGTTTTTGAGATTTTTGAGTTTGGGGAGTGTGTGTGTGTGGGGGGGGGGGAATCAAGAAAATGATCTCTTTTCAGCTTTAAATCGTGGAATTTTTGTCCAAAAAAATGTTTTTTTTTCTCCCATGAAAATTCTAATTTTTTTTTGCTGAAAAATACTAGGAGCCTTCGGAAATTCAAATTTTTTTTTTTTCATAAAAACAAACATTGCACGACAACGGCTTTTCTGGTTGAAAATTCAGTCTTCGTTTTGCTCTCCTTTTGGATAAAATCCAGGAGCCCCTCATTGTCCCTCCTTGTGGCTGGTTCTGATTAACGCGTTCAACGTGGTCGAGTTTACGAGTTTCGCAGCACTACCGAAGAGGTACTATTCCAGTAGTAGTTCGCCATGGCAACTACAGAAAAGTACACATTCAACTTGGTTGTAGATTGTCACTCTGAAGTTTGTGCACAAAAAAAAAAAATCCCCGGCCTCACTTTTCCCTACTTTTAGGCGACCGTGTGATGGCGGAGAATGTTTGCGCATTTGAGACGTCGTCGGCTGCACTTCAATAAACACCGCGATCAATACTGCTCCCCACTGATTTGTCTCAATCTCGCAACATTGACAGTATTTTCGGATATGAGCCAGCGCTAATATCGAACCACGAGAAGCGGAGGGGATAAAGTAGTCGCTTGTCTTCGTTGTGAGCGCACACAAACACGCTCGCACGCACACGCATTGTCACCCAGTCAGTATCGCCAGCCTGGCTGATAAGCGGCCATGAGCGCAAACTGGAAGAGAGGAATGTGTGGTATGACCTTCAACGCAAATGTCAATGTTTCGGCGTGGCGAGCGGGGGCGCGAGGGAAAGAAGACAACACAAGTGAAATGGAATCGCGGCGCCTCCGTAAATCACGGAGAAAATGATGTTTGTGTCAGGGAACGAGGGTACGGAAATCGGCGACGGCGCGCCCGCCCGCACGCACACACGCGCCACTGCCAGTCAGACAGGCTCCGTGTGCGTTCGTGACTAACAGCCGGTTGTTATTCATCTTGGCATGCGACTCCCAGCAGCCCCCCTCACATCAGGTGC